CTTTTATTCTTTTCGGTAGCGCGAAGACTGAGTGAATTTATGAATTCAATAAAAAGTTAAGCAAAGAGAGTGCAACATGAGGGCCAGCATTGAAAAAGAGGCAAGAGTGACTACTTTCCAACTCTGCGGCAGCTTTCCCCCGGCTGCCCGGCTCCTGGAACTGAACCTGCTGGTCGCCGAACATCCACTTACCTAGAGCTCATCGAGCTGCGCCGGCCTACCGGAGAGAAGAGCACAGGCGAGCTAACCGCAGACCCCAGAGACAGACCCCTTCTGCTCGCTCTGGGCGTGGACGACGGCCCGATTCCAACTAGCGGACCCCGTCGGGTCCCCGGCCCCGGGGTCCGAGGAGAGGAGACACCTGGAAACATGTCTGCAGGGAGCGTAGAAGAAGCTCCACTGGGGGGGGGGAGAGAGCGAGAACCTCACGCGCCAGGAGCTTGAACACTAAGGGGGCGGGAAGGCGCCTACCGATGACGTAACAGGGCACCGAGAGGGGAGGGACACTCAATGACGATATACAAATAGGGAAGGGTAGGCGCGTGGCGATGACGGCGAAGCTTGGCGCCGAACTGCAGGGCGGGGTCGGAACTAGAAAGACGTGTTGACGTCACATCCAGTCCCTGGTGGCAAGCGATTTTGAATCGGAAGCGCTTGTTTCCTGGTGTGGCTGGAGCGGTTAGGAGTCTAGAGTCCCGGGGGACATAGAGAAGGAACCCCGCTCTCCAGCTCTCAGGCTGGAGCTGACCCTCTGCGGGAGCGCTATCTGGGAAAGGAGGCGCCCGTTGGGCGGAGCCGAGGAAGTCACCGTGCTGGTGTCTCGGTGTGCTGTGGCGGTTGTGTAGCGCGATGTTTCCCCGTGCACTCAGTAGAGCTTTTCCCACCCTAAGTCAGATCGGCCGCAGGTTTGGCCTTCGTCCTAATGTCCGGGCTTTTCTTTGGGCCCCGGCTCTTGCTTCCCAGTCGCCTTTTGCAGTTTGATGGGTTTGGCCTACCGCCC